TGTTAATATCTGCTTTCAAAGCAGCTGCAATTTCTTTATCATTGTTATTACAGAACTTGAAAAATCGTAAAAATTCTTTCTACCAGTTTTCCTATTTATTTAAAATATTAATAAATAACAAATATAAAGCATGTTTATTTATTATATTTACATTTGAAAAAAAATCGATGCCAAAGTCAAATAAAGCAAGGTGAACAGTTGCTAATTTAAAAATTGGGTCTTGTAAAAAATCATTGTACTCTTTGGGTTTTTTATTTTTTAATAATCACAAAAAATGCAGTGCAGCAGTGTAGGTTTCTATATATATAAAATAGAAGAGTTGGCTATATATATACATGTACAATCTTACACCTGTGTTGAATCGATTAATTGATTTCTAGCTACAAGTTATAAATATTAACTTGCATCGATATAGAGCTTGCTATATATTATATAAATGGCCCTGTCTGAGTTAAAGGTTTTCTATTAGAGGCAACAGTAGCATAACAATATAACTTTTGTATGCTTACTAGCTAATCGAAGCAAGTTTCAATGAATTAGTCCAGGGTTTTCCACTGGAGACAACATTGTTACAGCCCCAGTAGCTAGCAGCAAAATTTCTTGAAGTTAAATATACAAATTTTAGTCCAAGGTTTTTTATTGGAGACCACTTGTACATTTAAATAACAAAAAATTGTTGAATATAATCGATCGGTTTTATCAACAATTTTTTTCACCTGTTTACTATTTACGGAATCGACTTTAATCACACATTTAGTTTTTTATTTTGTTCAAAGTGTAACAGTAAATATAAATATATTAAATCACTCACAAAAATCACTGAAACTCTAATGGATATTATTACATTAGATACTAATTCTTCTAACATTGTTACTAGGACAAGTATTTCGAATTTAAAGTTTAAGCTACTAATTAAACTTAATGATAGTAGTGTTATATATGCTAAGTGGATAAATCTTATATTTCTTGTGTTTAAAGAGTTTGAAAATTTTCAAGAGAGGATACTTTGTCAAATCTGTTCTTTATTGGATGACAATGCAATTGAGTAAAAAAGTTATACATTATTATACAATATCTCTATAAATAGTCCTGATATACAGCTTTGTGATGATTCCAATTTTCAGAAACTTCTTGAAGAGTATGGAAAATACTGTATTAAAGTATCAAAAAAAGAAACAATAGTTATTGCTTATATAAAGAAGGAAAAAAACTAGAAACATCCATGAAAGAAGCCTTGTTATTTTAAGAAAAAGGTTTGTAAGATAATGAATTATTCTTAGTAGCTTGCAATTTTAATTTCTAATTAATTATACAGAATCTAGATTCTGATACATCTGTATCATTATTGCAATTATCACAATTATCAATAGGAAAAAACAAAAAATCAGTAAGGCAGACAAAATTCCTATATATATCAAAACTTAATTCAATGAAACAGGAAAAGGTTATAAGAATTAAAATCTTGCATGACAAATACCATTGTATTGAACATAGGCAACTATACTATATTTCAGATAATATGCATCTCCAGCTGTCACTAATGCATCTAACCCTCTGGTCACATGAATTGATATAACTATTCATTTAATTTCAAAAATCAGAATGTTTGTAAATTATTTCTTATATAGTATTTCCTCCACATACATAGGTACAAGGCTTCACAGATATCAACACTTCATCTATGAATGCCATTTTTGATGCATCGACTTTGAAAAAAAACCATTGCTCATCCTTACATATAAATATACGATCCATATCACTATCCATTATGAACAAAACTCCAAGTCTATCTCAATTTATTTAACAGTTGGATGATATATATGGTAAGGGAATGTATACATGCTTTGAGAAAACCTTCCTTCAGGAAGACATTGCTATTGTTTACATTAAGGATCTAAGTGATGTCGAATTTGAGAAATTAGAAGTTACAAAAATTGGGTGGAGATATACAGTGTGTAACAAAACTTTTTGGAATTTTATTTACGTGACATAAATGTGAATAACTTTTTCAAAACAAA